CAGAATGGATAATCAATAACTTATTAGACGTTTTGGTGTGTAGTATTGCTGAGTATTTTTAAATCTCATGAGATTCTTAAAATTAATATATTGAACTTCACACTTGAATATAATTTCTTATGCACTCATGCTAGAATTCAATGCAGCGAACCAAACACCTGCTTCACAGTTCTAAAAATAGACTTAAACTAATCTGTTCTAAAGTTTTAAACTATTCGCCAGACTTCGTTAGATGCAGTGTTGGTAAACTTTTGCTGGTGCGCAACCGTAACGTCTTCTACTTCATCCTGAGGAATGGGGTGAAGGTTAAGAAACGAGGATTTACTATTGACTACGATGTCTCATCTTCCAATTTACTTAATGTCTGAGTGGAAGAGCCAGGTGGGAGAATATTTGACTCGAGATCATGACCGAGAGCTAAACATTTTCCTGTCCTTAAAATTTTGCAAAAACATCATCAAGTAATTGTTTTATTATACATTTTTGAAAACAATCTGCCAAAGGAGACACTTCTCTCTGAGTTTGCAAAAGTTTGAGAGCACTTCACGGACGAGGGGGAAACTAGGCAGACTTAGAACTCAACATGATGACCAGTATCTACTGCAGATATTGGGTTATCATATCAACTTCACACGCCTATGTATACTGACTGAATTCTCTCAAACAAATCAGAGTTTTCATAGTTACTCTATTGTATAATAATATTCCTTATTTGTTTATTAATGTCAAGAAAGCAATGGTTGTTGTGTACTGAAAGAGATTTACATTGGCGATATAAACGTTTGAACTTCCACAAAATCAATAATTACTTTGAAAAAACTCGTTCTGTAACTATGGAATTTTATACTCAGCAAAATTATAGCGACTAAGAACTTATTTGCTCTTCTAATTTTAAGTATTAACAATACTCCAGGCTTATATCGTATTGATATAACATTTTGATCAGGCTCGATGCTAAAGGTAAACGGAGCAAAAGTTTTCTCCCGAGTATAGGCTAAGTGATTTGAAAACTCTTTGCGTGTTTTACTAGCCTTTATAGTGAGTTATCCAACCTCTATACCCTGATAAGGTGCAGTTCATACCTTTATTTAATAGCTATTGGTTAATTGATACAATAGAAGTTATGATTCTGATTGAACATTATGCGCGTGATACCTCAGTCATTTCATTCCAGAAAATAACAAACACTTTGAAAGAATAACAAAGTCATGTCTCGAGAAAAATTGCGCGAACTTGTAAATAAGTATTGCTCAGAGACAAAGGAACTCTGATTTAGTCCACATTCCTCAGTTATTGCGCACTCTCAAGAAAACGGCATTTTGCAAGGATTGTTTAGTTTCACTGAACCGCCCGTGTTAAGTTTCTATGATACACACGCTGGACCACAATGATAAGGGAACTGCATTAATAATTGCTACAAGTATACGTATTTTTCATCTTTTCCACCAAACGGCCATGACAGCCATGTTCTGATAGTGAGTTTCTAT